GACTGCATCTATGAAATTAAAAGATGCTTGCTCCTTGGGAAAAAAGCTACGAGCAACCTAGACAGTGTATTAAAAAGCAGACACATCACTTTGCCGACAAAGGTCCATCTAGTCAAGCTATGGTTTTTCCAGTAGTTATATACAGATGTGAGAGTTGGACCAGAAAGAAGGCTGAGCACTGAAGAACTGATGATTTTGAACTATGGTGCTGGTGAAGACTCTTGATAGTCCCTTGGACTACAAGGAGATCAAACCGGTCAATCCTAAAGGAAATCAATCCTGAATATTCATTGGAAGGACTGATGTTGAAGCTGAAGCTCCAATACTCTGCCACTTGATGGGAAGAGCTGACTCACTGGAAAAGACCCTGATGCTGGGAAAGATTGAGGGCAGGAGGAAAAGCGGGCGACAGAGGATAAGATGGTTGAATAGTATCACCGACTCAATGGACATGAGTTTGAGCAAGCTCCTAGAGATGGTAAACTACAGGGAAGCCTGGCATCCTGCAGTCCTTGGGATCGCAAAGAGTCAGGCATGACTGACCAACTGAACAACAACAACAAAACATTAATGTTTATTAAAAACAAAATGTTAATTAAAAATAGAAAATATTTTTTTAAAATAGGCTGATTCTCAGTAAGAGCTGTGATTTTTGTGGCATATTTTAACTTACACCAGTCAATTCCCCGACAACTCCTCTTCTAAACACATACCCAAAAAATGCAAAAACAGTGACTCAAACAGATAATTGTTTATGAATATTCAAAGAAGCATTATACACAACAGACAAAAGTAGTTAGAAACCCAAGAGTACATCAACTTTTGAATGGATTTTTATTTTTTATACTTTTTTTTTCATTTATTAGTTGGAGGCTAATTACTTTACAATATTGTAGTGGTTTTTGCCATACATTGACATGAATCAGCTTTGGATTTACATGTATTCCCCATCCTGAATCCACCCCCCCCCCGCCTCCCTCCCTATCCCATCCCTCTGGGTCATGCCAGTGCACCAGCCCTGAGCACTTGTCTCATGCATCCAACCTGGGCTGGTGATCTGTTTCACCCTAGATAATATACATGTTTCGATGCTGTTCTCTTGAAACATCCCACCCTCGCCTTCTCCCACAGAGTCCACAAGTCTGTTCTATACATCAGAATCTTTCTAAATTCCATATATATGTGTTAGTATACTGTAATGGTCTTTATCTTTCTGGCTTACTTCGCTCTGTATAATGGGCTCCAGTTTCATCCATCTCATTAGAACTGATTCAAATGAATTCTTTTTAATGGCTGAGTAATATTCCATGGTGTATATGTACCACAGCTTCCTTATCCATTCGTCTGCTGATGGGCATCTAGGTTGCTTCCATGTCCTGGCTATCACAAACAGTGCTGTGATGAACACTGGGGTGCACGTGTCTCTTTCAGATCTGGTTTCCTCGGTGTGTATGCCTAGGAGTGGGATTGCTGGGTCACATGGCAGTTCTGTTTCCAGTTTTTTAAGGAATCTCCACACTGTTCTCCATAGTGGCTGTACTAGTTTGCATTCCCACCAACAGTGTAAGAGGGTTCCCTTTTCTCCACACCCTCTCCAGCATTTATTGCTTGTAGACTTTTGGATAGCAGCCATTCTGACTGGCATGTAATGGTACCTCATTGTGGTTTTGATTTGCATTTCTCTGATAATGAGTGATGTTGAGCATCTTTTCATATGTGTATTAGCCATCTGTATGTCTTCTTTGGAGAAATGTCTGTTTAGTTCTTTGGCCCAGTTTTTGACTGGGTCATTTATTTTTCTGGAATTGAGCTGCAGGACTTGCTTGTATATTTTTGAGATTAATCCTTTGTCTGTTTCTTTGTGTTTTTTTTTTTAAGTACACATACAACGCAATAGTACTGTTTGCTACTGTTAAGTCACTAAATCATGTCTGACTCTTCTGCAACCCCATGGCCTGTAGCCCACCAGGCTCCCCTATTCATGGGATTACCAAGGCAAGAATACTAGAGTGGGTTGCCATTTCCTCCTTCAGGAGATCTTTCTGACCCAGGGATCCAGCCCGCATCTCCTGCATTAGCAGGAGGGTTCTTTACCACTGAGCCAGCCACCAGGGAAGCCCACAATGGAATAGTATGCCATAAAAAGGAGTGAAGTTCTGATACATGCAACAACACTGAAAATGTTGAGACTAAGTGAATTAAGTCAAACACAAAAGAGCAAGACTGAGAGGAAGAGGTATGGGGAGTTACTGCTAAATGGATATAAGCTCTGCTTGTGTGATGAAGAAGTTTTAGAAATAGACAGGGGTGATAACAGAACAACACTGCGAAAATATTCAATGCCACTGCATTATACATATATAGCTGAAATGACAAATTTTATGCTAAATTATTTTACCATAATAAAAACAGAAAAATTTTGAAATTTAATGAAAAATATTAATCTACACATCAAAGAGGGCTTCCCTGGTGTCTCAGCAATAAAGAAACAAGAGACACAGGTTCCATCCCTGGGTCCGAAAGATTCCCTAGAGGAGAGCATGGCAACCCACTCCAATATTCTTGCTGGGAAAATTCCCATGGATAAAGGAGAATGGCGGGCTACAGTCCATAAGGTCGCCAAGAGTCAGACACGACTGAGGCAACAAACATCTAATAAGCTTAATAAACTGCAAGTTGGATATATTTCAAGAGCTCCAGACCTACACATGTCAATATAAAACATGAACAAATGGTGCTGGGACAACGGGTTAGTCACACACCAAAGAATTAAGTTGGACCCCTATTCCACACCATATACAAAAATGAACTCAAAGACCTTAAATGTAAGAGCAGAGTGAAAACTGTAAAATTCTTAGAAGGAAACAAGTGAAAACCTGCATGACCTATGAACAGGCAAGGGTTTTCTAGATGATATCAAGAGAACAAGCAACAAAAACAAAAATACTGGCTTGCATCAAAATTTAAAATTTTTGTGCTTCAAAGGATACCATCGAGACAGTTTAAAAAAAACAATCAGAGAAAGGGAGAAAATATTTGCAAATCATGTTTCTGTTAGCCCTTGTATCAAGAATATATAAAGAATTATTAAAACAAAAAGATAAATAACCCTGATTTTTTTTAAACAGGCAAAGGAGAGCTGCTCAACATCACAGTCATCAGGAAATGCAAATCAAAATCACAATGATACATGGATATGCTGTGCAACACAGGGGATACAGCCAATGTTTCATAATAACTATAAATGGAGTATAACCTTTAAAAGGTATGAATCACTATGTTTTGATACCTGTAATTTACATAATATTATACATCAACTATATGTCAATCATAAAAAAAATCATGAGATACCACTTTATATCCATTAGAATGACTACAGTCAAAAAGACAAACACTAACAAGTGTCACCAAAAGAAATGTACTTGAATGTTCAGAGGAGCAGTTTCAGAACAGTCCAAAACTGTTCATATTTACAAAATCCAAGTACCCATCATTAGCAGAACAGGAGAACAAAAGAACACTATACAGCAATAATGATCTTCAACTGCAACCAACAATAAGACAATCTCACAACTACATTAAGAGGAAGAGAGACGCAAAAAGATTACATACTATGCGATTCCATTTATATTAAGTACAAAATTTTTAAAAATTTATGCTGCTAGAAGTCGGAATAGAGATTAACCAGAAGGGCAGTGCTAATGACTAAAAATGAGCATGAAAGGGGTTTTTGAGGACCTAGTAATTTCTACTCCTGATCTAGGTGCTTGGGAAAACACAGAACCCAGGTGTTTTCAGTCACTGAAAAATCATTGAGCTGTATACATTTATGACATATGCACCTACCTGTTCCTGTATGACACCATACTTCAACATAAACTTAGATACAGTTCTATTTACACACACCTCTGTATTTACTGAGTGAACACCAGGTCACACACAAATTTTCTACCTTCAAATGTATACATCTAAAGAAAATAGCAATCATGGACACCCTACTAGTCAACAAGCCAGGATCAAGCACAAAGAGCTACACCTGGCTTTTCACTGCTTCACTTAAATATGAATTAAAATGAATTAAAGAAAACTAAATAGTAAGATAGTCACTGTTCTGCAGAAAATAAAAAAATTTAAATAAGAGCTATGTTTTAGGAACATTAGTGTCAAAACTGCTTGCTAAAGGGGGAAGGAGAGCAATGTTAAGAGGAGTCTGTTTCTTAGCTAAATGTCTGCCCCATCATTGCAGGACCCTCTGCAATCGCCATTAAAGACTCAACTTATGAGATAAATAAGCCATCCCTCATTCACCACCAAATTCCTACCCACCTCACAACTCAACCAAGGCTACAGTGAAATTCACAGCAAGTCTCAGCTTCACTAGGAAGGCCTGCTATTCAATGATCTATTCAATAAGCCAATCATCTAGTAGGCAAGGGAAAAGGATATCCCCAAGTTGCAGCAAAAACTATGATGTATGCAGTGATAGAACTAAAGTTCTATCATAAATATATTTGCACACTTAGAGCAATTTTATAAGTTCACTTTGATTTCTCGTGGGTATTGTTGCCATTTTAACATGTCTGCCTATAGATAATCCAGAACTGAGTATGATAATTTTTATACCATCACACCTCAAGTAGAGGCAGGATTAGCAAGTATGGTAATTAATCTACAATTTCTCCATTCCCCCATATCTCCAACGTTCCTACTCAGAGACAAAGACATCCCAGTTTATCTATACCATGACTGACCAAGATTCACACAGTCCCGCCTTTTGTACTTCATAGAACACTCTAGAGGTCTTAGGAAGAGACAAATCCAGTGACAGAAGGAGAGACACCTACTGAATATTAACTCAAACATTAACAGCATAAAGGATATGCCAAAGTATTTTTCTTGAAAGGTTTTCACCACAGAATTTTTCTTTCAGCTCTTCCAAAATCAATTTTTCAGTTTAACTTCTGTCTTAAGTACAAGTTGTTTCAAAACATGGTCCTTACCGCCTCTCTTGGAAAACCCTCTGTTCCGTGTTTGATTATCTTCACAGTCATTACTAGACTCTTGAATAAAAATTTAACATGTGAATAGCATCTAAATAATTACTGCAGTATTTATATTATTGTAGTATCTAAATAATACTGTCACAAGAGAAATAACCAAGAAAAAATATATTCATAAGTTAACATATGAACAAAATTTTAAATTTTAAAATAACAACAAAATACAAACACATTATTCAGACAGTTCTTTTTAAAAATCACCTAATATACCTAAATACTAAATGTTAAGCATGTATCTGTCATGTTCTAAGCACAGCCAAAAAATACGAATTTCATAAATGTCATGAAACAGTTTCAGAAATATCTGAACAGTTGAGTAGTCAAACGGATCTCAGAAATGCATAACTATTTATAATGTCATCATTACTTCTGTAAATTGCCTTTCTTAATAAACCTGAGACATTAGTGTTTTTTTAATATACGCAAAGTTTCCCCCATCCATCCTAATGGAAGCATTTGGGGATATCCTGGCTTTCTGTTCTTAGTGACATTATTAAGTAACATTACCAGTTTCTACATAGTAGTATTAGTAAAAATTACCAGGAAAGTTGGTTAAAAATAAATTATCAGAACCCACCCTAGAGATATATATTTTGAATGTGCAGAGTGACATCAAGGAATGAACAATTTTTCTAAATTAAAAAATTATACATTATTGATATAACTTTCAGTAATAACTTTAAGCTTTCTAGAAGATTCCAATAAAGCCATATTTGGAAAATACCAAGATGGTTTCACGGAATGTTTGTACATATCACTAACATTTAGTACCGGGGAACTTTAGATCCCAGTGATGACATATGTGGCTAACCAGATTAAAAGTTATCAGTTGTTTATGTACAAAAGTACTAATCTACTCAATTAATATTGATTTATAATAAACAATGACCCACAGCTCTTGCTGCAGGCTCCTATTTGAGATGACATCAACAATTGACAATACTCCTGAAGAGTCATTTAACATCAAGACAACCTTCTCAGAAGCAAGATTTCATACAAGGGAGTTGAAGAGGAAGAAAGAATTCTGGAAAGATTCTTAGAATAACCTGGAATAATGGAATTATTATTTGATGATATAATAATTCATCATCATCTGGAATAATGATGATGGTAGCTAACATTTATTGTCATATATGAAAGAAAACTTATGAATTAATTTGGGACCTGACAAGGAGAAAAACACCTCACATAACCTTTGGCCAACTGTTCTCCTAAAATAAACTTACAGTTATTTTGACCACATTGGGAATTAAAATAGGCTAATGACATTAGGAGAAGTTGGGTGAGGAGTACAATTACATTAGAGGCAAGCTGAAGGAAATCTTCTGTACTATTTCTGAAACTTCTTGAGTCAAACGATTTCAAAATAAAAAGTTATTTAAAAAGAAATTATCTCTGTAGAGTTAAAAATAAAATTAAGCACAAACAAAAATGAGATAATGATCCCAAGATTAGTTATAATCTATTAATTATAGAAAAATAATTTAATAATAACACATAAAACTTAGTATCTGTCTGTCACTCTTCTAAATGAATTCTACTTTAACTTTTTAAATCTTCACAAAAACCTTACAAGGTGGGTGTTATCCTCAATTATAAACAGAGAAAAAGAAATACAAAGTTAAACATGTTTTTTTAAGATAATACAACTGACAGGAAGAGAAGGATCTGGGTCTCAAACCCCGCGTGTCTGATTCCAAAATCTGAGCTCCTTATTGCTATACTGTACCAGCTAAAGGACAGAAGATACAGGAAAAATAACCACAAAATACACTATAAATCTGTGTGCAGAGAAAACAAGCTTTTATCATGATAGCAAAACCTGCTTTTTAAATTATAAAGACTCCATAGATCAGTGGTTACCAAATGAAAGAGGCATCAGAGTCATCAGGGAGGCTTTTAAACACAGGGTCCAGGGCCTCACTCAAATCTCCTCAATCAGGTTCTCTTGGGAAAGTATTATTAATTATTTAAGTCTATCTTCTGCTAGCAATACTCTATTCTCACCATTTTCTGTATTCCTCCAAACCAGAGTGTCAGTACCTTTACATAAATGTCTTTGATTTCAGCAATGATCCAGTCTCATGAATCTTTTTCCACTGGAAATACTTATTTGAGTCTGAATAAGGACCTACATGCCCCAAATTGTATTTATGTATGAAAGTGAAATTTTGCTTCCTGACTTGCTCTACTATCCTCTTTTTCTTAAGGTAACACAGCATTCAAAAGTTGTACTTCATAGATTAGTTAAGATAGATGACAACAGCCCAGATTAGGAAGGCTGAATTCTTGGTTAAAGCTCTGCCTATACTACTTCGGTCACAAAGAGTCAGACACAACTGAGCAACTGAACTGATACTGCTTTGGGGCTTCCATGGTGGCTCAACTGGTAAAGAATTTGCCTGCAATGTGGGAGACCTGGTTTGGGAAGATCCTCTGGAGAAGGGAACGGCTAACCACTCCAGTATTCTGGCCAAGAGAATTCATGGATGAAGCACAAGCTGGAATCAAGACAGCTGGGAGAAGTATCAATAATATCAGATATGCAGATGACACCAGCCTTATGGCAGAAAGCCAAGAGGAACTAAAGAGCCTCTTGATGAAAGTGAAAGAGAGTGAAAAAGTTGGCTTAAAACTCAATATCCAAAAAACGAAGATCATGGTATCTGGTCCCATCACTTCATGGAAAATAGATAGTGAAACAATGGAAACAGTGGCTAACTATTTTCTTGGGCTCCAAAATCACTGCACATGGTAACTTCAGCCATGAAATTAAAAGATGCTTGCTCCTTGGAAGAAAAGCTATGACCAACCTAGACAGCACATTAAAAAGCAGACACATCACCTTGCCGACAAAGGTCCATCTAGTCAAAGCTATGATTTTCCCACTAGTCATGTATGAATGTGAGTTGGACCATAAAGAAAGCTGAGCGCCAAAGATGCTTTCAAGCTGTGGTATTGGAGAAGACTCTTGAGAGTCCCTTGGACTGCACGGAGACCAAACTAGTCAATCCTAAAGGAAGTCAGTCCTGAATATTCATTGGAAGGACTAATGCTGAAGCTGAAGCTCCAAAACTTTGGCCACCTGAGGCCAAAGAATTGACTCATTAGAAAAGACCCTAATGCTAAGATTGAAGGCAGGAAGAGAAGGGGACGACAGAGGATGAGACGGTTGGATAGCATCATCGACTGGATGGAAATGAGTTTGAGCAAGCTCCGGGAGTTGGTGATGGACAGGAAAGCCCAGCGTGCTGTAGTTCATGGGGTCGCAAAGAGTCGGACACGACTGAGCGACTGAACTGACTGATAGCTGCTTTATAAAACCATGTTTAAATAAATTAGAGCTGGAACAGACTAAGATAATTTTATTTTCTCCTTAGCATGTATTCTAGACACTAAATTCTTAAGTCACTACGAGAAACAGTGAACTTACCTCTCCAGAAACCAGAGCTATCACATTCTTCAAACTTGTTATTTGAAAAACCTACATGAAACATAAAATTAAACTTGTAAATTTCTGAGAACAACTACCTAAACCAAAAACCAATTTCTTCTGCAGAAGAAAGAGAAACAGAGAAGAAAGAGAAACACTGTACAGGGACTGCTAGTTATGATGTCCCTTTAAAATTGTATAAATTGCATACAACTATATATATAAACAGTGAATGAGAATGCATATGCATTGTATGACAACTTCTGCTTTGTGTCAGTTTATTAAGATTAAAATACCAGCCAATGTTATATTATCTGAAATGTTACATATTCCTCCATATGTACATGAGTGAAACATGGGTATGTGTGTGTGTATCTCACTATAACCACTATGTACTTTCTATTCAAAATATCAAATGTTTATGAATTTTATAAATTATACTTTCATCTGCTGGAGGACAACTAAATTACAATCCAATATCATATCATTTTTCCTTTCTCAGTATCGAGGAAATTCTACCAACTTCTATTTATAAAATTTTAAAAACAATCTTTCACCAAACTCTGCTTTCAAATTTCTCATTTAATAAAACCTTGTGTCTAGATCTATGTATCTCTGGAACATATAGCTCTAACATGTAGCTCTAAAATTCACTTTAAAAGCATCCATCAGTAATACTTCATACATTTTAAAAAATATGAGTTTTAATAAAATGATCTTTTAGGTACCTGAGTAACTACAAGTTACTCAGATAATGTAACTTAAAATTAAATGTCAATATGCAATGTCTCTCAATCATGATCTAATTTAAATAATAAAATATATTAAATTACGGCTTCAATAGTACAGAGACCAATCAATTACTGTTTGAGAGACATTAAATTTATATGCAAAGTGTCTACATATCAAGTCATTTAACATCTCAGGCTCAACAAAATCTCATGTCCCAGCATCAAACTCCAGAGACATTTAATACACAATTAGCATATTAAAAAGTAAGTATCAGGCCACATATGGCCTCTATATATGAATGGATAACACTTTTTCCTTAAGCATATGTATAATTTCAAAATAAAGACAGTCCCTACAAAAAGAGTATATATAACAAAACAGATTTTTTGGTTATTTTACTCATTTTAATACTTGCAACTTTTGAAGCTGGTTCAGAAAAGGATTATTACACTCTACTGTCCTCTACAATTGCTCCTTCCCCTCCATACACCTTTCCCAGAAAAGTCAAATGCTGCATCTCCAAAATGCTTGAGAAGTCTTCCATCTATGTACTATTGGTTTTGATCTTAAACTCTACATAAATTCTACTTTATAGTTTTTAAATTTTTTAGACACAAAATGCAAATTCAAAACTTCTACTGGTTCTTCTGTAGAAGGAAATGGCAACCCATTCCAGTATTCTTGCCTGGAGGATCCCATGGACAGAGGAGCCTGGCAGGCTACAGTCCACAGGGTCGCAAAAGTCAGACACAACCTAGCAACTAAACCACCACCACCGGTTCTTTGTTCAAGTAAAGATGGAAACTCAGATTCACCCCTGGAAGTTAAAGATAGATCTCTTGCCGCAGGAGCAGGGCAAGGAAGTCATGAGTACAGGAGAAAAGACATGGGGTTCACCTGTGGGGTACATCAATTTGACAAGATGCTGCAACAAGTAGCATGGCTATTAAAAAGGAAAACAAGAAAACTAAATAGAATAGCAGACACATCCAAAGCAGCATAAAGTGTTGCTCTGAACTATGATTAGGAAAGTGAAAGCACTCCCTTGTGATCTCCATAAACTACTGGGAAAGGCACACACTTCCTAAGTATGTTAAAAGGAAACACTTCTTTGGCCCATTTTTTGATTGGGTCATTTATTTTTCTGGAATTGAGCTGCAGGAGTTGCTTGTATATTTTTGAGATTAATCCTTTGTTGCTTCGTTTGCTATTATTTTTTCCCAATCTGAGGGCTGTCTTTTCACCTTGCTTACAGTTTCCTTTGTTGTGCAAAAGCTTTTAAGTTTAATTAGGTCCCATTTGGTTTTTTTGCTTTTATTTCCAATATTCTGGGAGGGGGGTGGTCATAGAGGATCCTGCTGTGATTTATGTCAGAGAGTGTTTTGCTTATGTTCTCTTCTAGGAGTTTTATAGTTTCTGGTCTTACATTTAGATCTTTAATCCCTTTTGAGTTTATTTTTGTGTATGGTGTTACAAAGTGTTCTAGTTTCATTCTTTTACAAGTGATTGACCAGTTTTCCCAGAACTCCAAAGAAGACATACAGATGGCTAACACACACATGAAAAGATGCTCAACATCACTCATTATCAGAGAAATGCAAATCAAAACCATAATGAGGTACCATTACACGCCAGTCGGGATGTCTACTATCCAAAAGTCTACAAGCAATAAATGCTGGAGAGGGTGTGGAGAAAAGGGAACCCTCTTACACTGTTGGTGGGAATGCAAACTAGTACAGCCACTATGGAGAACAGTGTGGAGATTCCTTAAAAAACTGGGAATAGAACTGCCATGTGACCCAGCAATCCCACTCCTAGGCATACACACCGAGGAAACCAGATCTGAAAGAGACACGTGCACCCCACTGTTCATTGCAGCACTGTTTATAATAGCCAGGACATGGAAGCAACCTAGATGCCCATCAGCAGACGAATGGATAAGGAAGCTGTGGTACATATACACCATGGAATATTACTCAGCCATTAAAAAGAATTCATTTGAATCAGTTCTAATGAGATGGATGAAACTGGAGCCCATTATACAGAGTGAAGTAAGCCAGAAAGATAAACACCAATACAGTATACTAACACATATATATGGAATTTAGAAAGATGGTAATGATAACCCTATATGCAAAACAGAAAAAGAGACACAGATGTACAGAACAGAATTTTGGGGTCTGTGGGAGAAGGCGAGGGTGGGATGATCTCAGAGAACAGCATCGAAACATGTATATTACCAAGGGTGAAACAGATCACCAGCCCACGTTGGATGCATGAGACAAGTGCTCGGGGCTGGTGCACTGGGAAGACCCAGAGGGATTGGGTGGAGAGGGAGGTGGGAGGGGGGATCACGATGGGGAATACATGTAAATCCATGGCTGATTCATGTCAATGTATGGCAAAAACCACTACAATACTGTAAAGTAATTAGCCTCCAACTAATAAAAATAAATGGAAAAAAAAGAGAAACAAATTAAAATGTAAGACCATGAAATTGTGAAAGATGGAAAACTTGCAAATCAACTATATTTCAGTAAAAAATAAAAACAAAGATGGAAATTACATTTTTTATGTCCTACTCAGTGTGGACATTCACACATTGTATTGTGATTATATCAACATATTTGATTACTGCATGCTACTTCAGACCTTGTGGTGCTAATTACATAATATTCTGTCCATGTACTGTGGGCTTTAGATATGGGCCTATGTAAGCTTTTTTTTATTTTTTGTTTTAAACAGACTTTAAGATAAAGAATTGTTAGACATGGAATCCGTCAGGGCAAAGGATTAAAAGGAAAGATTCTCAGGAAGATGAAGCAATTCCAAATGAATAACATAACCTCCAAGTATACAAAAAACAAATTAAGATGAATTACATGACTATATACACGGAAGTCTTCATACATCTCCACTGGTTCTTGATAGGCCAAAAAGGAAAAAAAAAATTCTACGGATATAGCAAACTTCAACCACAAAGTCAACAAGCTTAAACCGAAGGACAAATATGGAATCCTGCAGAGAAGTTAATTAGCTATTATAAGACTTTACACAATCTGAAATTGTTCCTGGAATCATGTATCAGGTGGAGAGACTGGTCAAATAACCTCTAGGATCCTAATTAACTCTGGGATTGTTTAGTCTAATTTCAATAAATATTTTGCTCGAAGGTTTAAAAAAAAAAAAGGAAACAGAACTCAAAGACTATAAGGTATCACTTAAGTTTCAATTGAAAGACATCATTAGCAGATTACCTCTGTTTCCAAAACTCTTTCCAACTCCAAAATCACCCACTGTGGATGTATTCTCTCTTTTATTAGACTCACCAGGATCTGAAAAGGTTCAGATACAATTAAAACTTTTTGAAGTATAAAATCAAGTGTGTCATCAATAACTAGGAATTAAATGAATCTGTGTGGTAATGGAACTTCCAAGGATGAGGAGAGGGTTTTACAGGAACTTATGAAATTAAAATATACCTGCAACTTCTTTTTTAAAAATTCTTACATTATATCAAAGTAACAACGTAAATATACTACTGCTGAAATACAGCTCTCAACTAGTTGCTATTTTACTAGAGAACTTTAACCAAGAAATTCAATTCTACAATTCAACTCTATTCAACTCTTATTTTCTATATATCGAAACCTCACCCTGACAGATCCAGCCATTTACATTATACCTCTATGTGAAAGTCACTGCTAATGAAAGTTCTATATCTTGTCCTATAATTATTATTTATTCATTTTAAAAAATATTTATTATTTATTTGGCTGCACCAGGTCTTAGTTGCATCATGAGAACTCTTAGTTGCAGCATGTGGGATCTAGTTCCCCGACCAAGGATCAAACTAGGGCCCCTGGTATTGGCAGCATAAGAGTCTTAGGTCACTGGACCACCAGGGAAGTCCCTATTCATTTTTCTAGTACTTAAATCACTCTCAATCTACTTTTTAAAATTAGAATTAAGAAGTAGCTATATAATAACGAAAAAAATGCTAAGAATACCACTTGCCTTTATCTCCCACTCCTCCATAGTATTTCCCCATATCAACCTTCTTAGTTTTATATTCCACTATACAACTCTGACCACCCAACATTTTAATTCATAAAACAACTTTCCATACTCCACACTGTGAACTTCTAATATCTTCTATTTCCTACACGCTATTCCTTCAGCATGACATTCCTTGCTTTCCTATTTTTCCTAGCAAACTTCTTTTCACTCTTCAAAAGCCTGATTCAAACCCACCCCTTCTGTGAAGTCCTCCTTCAGTCCTCCAACTGTAATCAATACATCAATCACATTCCCACGGCGTACTATGTGTATCTCTTTTTAAGCAATATTTCTTTCCATGTGCTTCTCTACCACTAAATTAAGAATTTTGAGGGCAGCACAGTTATTTAAAACATAAACTTAAGCACCCAAAACATCATAAATAGCCACTTTAAACTATCATTGGGATAATTATCATAATCTTGTGATTTTCACAAATTGTCTTCCCTACATCTATAATATCCTAATACAGAGGAGCTAAGAGACCTGTGAAACTCCTAATGCCACATGCAAAACTGTGTATATGCTATCAGTATTTTTATCAGATTCTAAAAAAGCATGTGATTCGGGAAGTTAAGGCTTTTTTAGGCCATACTTCACAGAAGATAAAAAGTGAATCAATATATATTTTAGGTAATTAAAAGTCAATTTTAAAACCATGTTACTAGATATATCCAAGTTGTGAGAAAAAATACCATAAAGATTGAAACAAACTAGAATGTTAAACTGAATCATTTGGGAAAGGTGTGGTTCTTCTATAAATTTCCAGGATTATATGCAGTATTAAAGATAACTTTTTTTTCTTAAATATTATTGGAGTATAGCTAATTTACAATTTTGTGTTAGTTTCAGGTATACAAAGTGATTCAGTTCACATATACATATATTCATTCTTTTTCAGATTTTCTCAAAGAAAACTTTTTAAAGTATCAATATTCAGTTTCGATCAGAAATTTAATGTATTTAAATCTACAACATATTGAATTAACAATTCATAGTAAAATCTCAGTGATGGTTTTCTCATTTAAAAAGGCTCTATTCAACAATGTTTAGAAGTCTGCATCAAAAAATATCATTCTAAATTAGGATTTTAAAATATATCCAAATAAGTATTCCCTGAGTGTTGTATTAAGGTATTTGTTACTTCTTTGTAGTAGCAAACAAAATACACCCTTGACTCTTTAAGCACAACTACATGGTCCAAAAATTAATGCCTCTTACTTAATAGGCAGGCCTAAAAATAAAAAAATATATATGCATCTTCAACAAATTTCATTAGTAGAAGAAATACGTCAAAACATAAAATTCACACTTATGTTAACTGTATCTTAAAAAATTAAGTTTTCCAAGTAGCAAATGAAATACCATATACCAACTTTCAGTTTCCAATGGATAAAAACATATACAAATATCAAAATTTTCAAAAACTAACATTTAATAAATTCAGGAATAAGTGTCATGTATATTTAAAACTATTAACCCTAGCTTATGGCCCCATAAGAGAAATTTATTTAAAAATCCATATGACCATTTGAGGTTCTAATACTATTTTGTTGCACTGTAATAAAACACAGTGCAGAATATTTTCAGCATTTTAATAACAAATCTAAAAATGGAATGGAGGAAAGTATTTTGCTGTGTCATTATCTGTCAAATCTAGTGCTGGTTGTTCTGAAAGTGACAATAAAAACTTTCAATTTTGGGAAAACAACCTCTTAATAGTAGTGAGCTAACAGAACTGTTTCACATACTGCCATTTCTTGAGAAACATAAAACTTAAGAAAGAGGTCCTTCACACTCTAGTCTCTCGAGTTTCTCCCATTCCTCCCATGACAATGGGAACAATAACCATCAACAAATCAAGAAGCAGCTCTGTGAAGCAACTCTTCAACCAACCTACCCATCTAATCAATTCAACTATTTCCTACTATCTTAAAATGTAAAACAGTGAAAAGAATACTGGTATTAAAAAAAAATTCATCATCCCAACAAAGTCTACTGTACACCAAGTTATATCAGATTTAACCTTGCACTAAACAGCCATAAAAGCCTCTATTCATTCCACTATTCACCTATTATAACAGATGATTAAAGAAAGATACTTACCTCTGTTTCCCAAACTCCTCCCAGAGGCAAATCCACTTCTCATGAAATGATCTCTTTGAGGCGATCCATCACCCATTTCTAAAGTAAAGAACATTTGAAGCAAGTCAAAATAACAAAAAAGTATCCTGATGGTAAGTAAGCTTTAAACCATCTAAATGTGCCATCCACACAGCATAGGAGGAATTTTACATAGCAGTAAGAAAGATGAGTAGCCTAGTAGAAAAATGGGCTATAAGTAAGAATAGGTAGTCCTCCAAAAGAAAAAAATGCTGACTAACTCTCACTCATTAATTAAAGACACTGATTAGCCTCCAACTAATAAAAATAAATGAAAAATAATAATAATAATAATTAAAGACACTGAAAATCAAAAGAATATAACTTTTCCCAACCACGACTGACTGGAAAACAGTTTGCTAATATGAATCTAGTAGAAGACCTAAATGGGCTTTCCTCATAGCTAAGTCGGTAAAGAATCTACCTGCATTGCACAAGACCCAAGTGAGATCTCTGGGTTGGGAAGATCCTCTGAAGAAAGAAATAGCAACCTATTCCAGTATTCTTGCCTGGAGAATACCATGGACAGAAGAGACTGGCAGGCCACAGCCCACGGGGTTGCAAGAGTTGGACATGACTCGGACATGACTTAGTGACTAAATCACCACTAGAAGACCAGACATTTCTCCAAAGAAGACATACAGATGACCAACAAGCACATGAAAAGATGCTCAACATCACTAATTATTAGAGAAATGCTAATCAAAACAACGATGAGTTATCACCTCACACAAGTCAGGATGGCCAACGTCAAAAAGTGTACAAACAACAAACGCTGGAGACAGTGTGGAGAAAAGAGACCCTCTTACACTGTTGGTGACAAGGTTAATTGATACAGCCACAATGGAGAACAATATGGAGGTTCCTAAAAAATACTACAAATAGAAGGACCCTATGACCCAGCAATCTCAACACTGGGCATATACCCAGAGAAAAACGTAATTCAAAATGACACATGCACTCCAATGTTCACTGCAGCACTATTTACAAAAGCCAGCACAGGGAAGCAAGCAAAATTTCCATCAACAGAGGAAATGAATAAAGAAGATGTGGTACACACAGACAATGGAATATTACTTGGCCATAAAAAGGAATTAAATTGGGTCACCTGTAGAGACATGGATATACCTAGAGACTGTCATACAGAATGAAGAAAGTCATAAAAACAAATATCATATATTAATGCATAAATGTGGAATCTAGAAAAATGGTACAGATGAACCTATTTGCAAAGCAGAAACAGAGACACAAACATAGAGAACAAATATATGGATACCAAGAGGCAGGGGGTTGGGGGAAGGATGAACAGGGAGATTGTGATTCATGTATATACACTATTGATGCTATGTGTAAAATACATAACTAATGAAAATCCTACCGTATAGCACAGGGAACTTTATTCATTGCTCTATGGAAGGAAATCTAAACAAGTGGAAATATATATATAACTGATTCACTTCGCTGTACAACAGAAACACAACATTGTAAAGCAACTATATTCCAATAAATATTTTTTTAAATACCAAGGCTAGTCAAGGACATAGGGAAACAAGCACGAATCAAATACAACATTGAAACTATAAACTAGATCCATCTTGATCCTAATTTTAAAGGAAAATACTTTTTGAAAATATACTAGTATACTTTTTCCTGTGGATATACTCACATGATAACACAAATACACATAAAAATGTTTTGATAAGCACTGTCTGTAACAGCCAAGAAAAAGTCAAAGGAGAAGAGATAAATTACAATCATCCACAGAACACTGTAAACATTCACAGAACTAAAAACATTAAACTGGTGACTTTCTTCAACAATAGAATATTCATAAAAGTCGATTACATGGAAGGCCAAAATGTAAATTCAACAATTTCAAAATCAGTTTTCACATACACAAAATTCTCTAATTGCAATGCAACCAAATTAAAAATTTCTAGAAGACAAATACTGTATATTTTTGCTTATATGTGGAATCCAAAAAATAAAACAAGTCAACAAATACACAAAAACAGAAAAGATGAACAGATATAGAAAACAAACTAGTGGTTTGCCACATGGGAGAAGGGTGAGGGAGGTATGAAATAGGTGAAGGGGAGGTAAGAGGTACAAACTACTAGTTATAAAATAAATTAGCTACAGGGATGTAATATACAGCATAAGGAATATAGTCAATATTTTACACTAACTTTGTATGGTGTATAATCTATAAAAATAGCAAATAACTATTATACACTGACAATTAATGATAGAGTAACTCAATTATACAATTTTAAAATTCTCTTACATTTGGAAATATATTTTTAAAACACTTCTATACAAAACAGTTCAAAGAAAAAAATTACAATGGAACTTTAGAAATACTTAGAATTGTATGATAAAATGACATATATCAGAAATTAAATTTTTATACAGTAAGAACTGAAAATTAATGAGGTAAACATCCATCTCAACCAGTAAGAACATTAGAAAAACAGCAAAATAAATCACAGAAGAGTAAAGGAGAAAAAAGGTGGTAAAAACAGGCCTCCCTGGTGGCTCAGTGGTAAAGAACCCTCCAATGAGGGAGACACAGGTTCAGTCTGTAGTTCAGGAAGATCCCACATGCGGTGGGACAACTAAGCCTGTGTGCCACAACTACTGAACCAGCACTCTAGAGCCCATGAGTTGCAACTACTAAAGCCCATGCACCTAGAGCCTGTGGTCCACAACAAGAGAAACCAGTGGAACGAGAAGCCCATGCACTGCAACTAGAGAGTAACCCCCACTCACCACAAGTGGAGAAGGCCTGTGCAGAGCAATTAAGACCCAGTACAGCTGTAAATAAATACAAGTAAATAAATCTTTAAAGAAAAAATGTTAACAACAAAAAATAATGAAATAGGAAACAAAAATATAATAGTGGCTCAATAAAGCCAAAACCTAGTTCTTTTTTTTTTTTCCCATTTATCTTTATTAGTTGGAGGCTAATTACTTTGCAACATTGCAGTGGTTTTTGTCATACAGTAAATGAATTAGCCATGGATTTACATGTCCAAAACCTAGTTCTTTAAGAAACCAATGACCCACTCCAGGACAAAGGAATGAAAGTGAGGAGATGGAAAAAGGTATTTCATGCAAATGAAAATGACAATAAAGTGGGGGATGCAACACTCATATAAAAAAACAGACTTCCAAACAAAAGCCATAAAAAGGCCAAAGAAAGACACTATATAATGATAAAAGAATCAATACAAGAAGAGGATATTACACTCAATGACACATATGCACTCAATATAGGAGCATCTAAATGTATATAAATATTTATATATTTTTATACTAAAAATTATATTAAAGTACTTAAAATACTTATATATAAATATAAAAACATATAAGTACATAAAAATATCATATTCTTTGCAGAGAAACATGGAGAACTCTATACAGTCAGCAAAAACAAGATCGGGAGCTGACTATGGCTCAGATCATAAACTCCTTATTGCCAAATTCAGACTGAAACTGAAGAAAGCAGGGAAGATCACTAGATCCTTCAGGTATGACCTAAATCAAATCCCTTACGATTATACAGTGGAAGTGAGAAACAGATTCAAGAGATTAGATCTGATAGAGTGCCTGAAGAACTATGGATGGAGGTTCGTGACATAGTACAGAGGGCAGTGATCAAGACCATCCCCAAGAAAAAGAAATGCAAAACGGCAAAATGGTTGTTTTAGGAGGCCTTACAAAGAGCTGAGAAAAGAAGTAAAGTGAAAGGAAAAGGAGAAAAGGAAAGATATAACCATGTGAATGCAGAGTTCCAAAGAATAGCAAGAAGAGATAAGAAAACCTTCCTCAGTGATCAGTGCAAAGAAATAAGAGCAAAACAATAGAATGAGAAAGACTAGAGATCTCTTCAAGAAAATGAGTGATACTAAGGGAACATTTCATGCAAAGATGGGCACAATTAAGGACAGAAATGGTATGGACCTAACAGAAGCAGAAGATGTTAAGAAGAGGTGGCAAATACACATAACTATACAAAAAAGATCTTCATGACCCAGATAACCATGATGGTGTGATCACTCACCTAGAGGCAGACATCCTGGAATGTGAAGTCAAATGGGACTTAGGGAGCATCACTACGAACAAAGCTGGTGGAGGAGATGGAATTCCAATTGAGCTATTTGAAATCCTAAAAGATGATGCTGTGGAAGTGCTGCACTCAACATGCCAGTAAATTTGGAAGACTCAGCCAGTGGCCACAGGACTGAAGAGGTCAGTTTTCATTCCAATCCCAAAGAAAGGCAATGCCAAAGAATCTTCAAACTACCCCACAATTGCACTCATCTCACATGCTAGCAAAGTAACCTTCAAAATTCTCCAAGCCATGCTTCAACAGTACATGAACCGTGAACTTACAGATGTTCAAGCTGGATTTAGAAAAGGCAGCGGAACCAAAGATCAAATTGCCAATATTCACTGGATCATTGAAAAATCATGTATTCCAGAAAAACATCTACTTCTGCTTTACTGACTACACCAAAGCCTTTGACTGTGTAGATCTCAACAAACTATGGAAAATTCTTAATGAGATGGGAATACCAAACCACCTGACCTGTCTCCTGAGAAATCATGCAGGTCAGGAAGCAACAGTTAGAACTGGACATGGAACAAAAGGCTGGTTCCAAACAGGAAAAGGAGTACATCAAGGCTATATATTGTCACCCTGCTTATTTAACTAATAGGCAGAGTACATCATGCGAAATACTGGGCTGGAGGAATCACAAGCTAGAATCAAGATTTCCAGGAGAAATATCAATAATCTCAGATATGCAGATGACACCACAATTATGGCAGGAAGCAAGAACTAAAGAGCCTCTTGATGAGAGTCAAAGAGGAGAGTGAAAAAGTGGTCTTAAAATTCAACATTCAGAAAATGAAGATCATTGCATCCAGTCCCATCACTTCATGGCAAATAGGTGGGGAAATAATGGAAACACTAAGAGACTTTATTTTGGGGGGCTCCAAAATCATGGCAGATG